ATGAATTGGAAACATATTTTAATATATGTGGATGATATGATAATCTACAGCAGAACATTTGAAGAACACTTACATCATCTGAAATGCGTTTTTGGCAAACTTAAAGAAGCTGGTCTTACCTTAAAACCAAGCAAATGTAGATTTGCAGCTAAGAGAGTAACATATTTAGGCCACGTCTTCAGCAAAGATGGAGTAGAAGTTGACAAATCAAAAGTAGAAGTTGTTAAAAGCATCCCTTCTCCCAAAAATGTCCATGACATCAGACATTTCTTGGGTCTTGCAAGTTACTACCGCAAATTTGTCCCAAATTTTTCCCGCATAGCATCACCATTGTATAACTTGCTTCAAAAGGATGCCACCTTTAATTGGTCAGACAAGTGTGAACAGGCACTTAACAAATTGAAAGGATGCCTAACTTCAGCCCCTGTCTTAACATATCCTGATCCCAATTAACCATTCATTCTAACAACAGATGCTTCTACCTCAGCCATAGGGTATATCTTAGGTCAGCGAGATGCTTCTGGCCAAGAACATGTCACCTGCTATGGTGGCCGTGCCCTTCATGCTGCTGAGAAGAAATGGGGCATCACTCAACTAGAATGTTTGGCTGTATTAGAAGGCATTAGAACTTTCAGGGTGTATCTCACATCTCAGAAGTTTAAAGTCTTCACAGATCATCATGCTCTGAAATGGCTTAAGGACATCAAACAGGAAACAGGTCGTCTTGCTAGATGGTCTCTCATGCTGCAGGAATATGATTATGAGATCGAACATAGAGCAGGTGAAGCCAATACAAATGCTGATGCTCTCTCTCGCATTCCATATCCTGCACAGATCATAGAACCTGTCACTGATGATTTCCCTGTCCCACCAGTCCCCTCTATCAACTACACCTCAGCCACCATCCAGTCAAATCATCATCCAATCCAGCATTCATATGCTGAAGTGGTTTCAACACCACCCACAAATCCATCATCAACAACCCATCACCAGATTGCTAGTCAGCTCACTGCAGCAGATAATGACTATGGGATTTCTCCTGAATGTTCAACTTCAGAAAACCTTCATTTATCTGGTCAGAAGGCTATAGCACCTTCTTCAGCATCATCAATAGATCTGTATGTTGAATTCTGTTATCAAGATGAGATTCCATCAGGACCAACAGTTCAAACTATTGGAACTGATATTCCGGAAAACAATCTTGCAGAGAGACAGAGAAGTTCACCAGATTTCAAGCCTATCATTGACTTTCTAGAGAATGGTGAGATTCCCTCTCATTACACTGATTCTCAAGTCAAAGGTCACCAAGGTCTCTCACAGGAGTATGATCTATGTGAAGGCATCTTGTATCATTTCTACCTGCCAAAGCATAGAGGACACAAGAACGGCCGTCACCCAATGGTTACACAACTGGCAGTTCCTATTTCTGACAGGAAATCCCTGCTTTATGCTTACCATGATTCAAAAGCAGGTGGGTGCCACTTTGGCCGGGATGCTACCCGTCAGTCCATTTTGACCAAATACCATTGGCCAGGCTTGTACCAAGATGTTGAAACATACATCAAATCTTGTGAAGAATGTCAAAAAAGCAAACGTTGGGCCCATTCAAAACCAGCTCCAATGGTACCAATGCCTATTGAAGATAACTTTTCCAGGTAACATGTTGACATCCTTGGGCCTCTTCCTCAAACAAAGGATGGGCATAAGTATGTTCTTGTAGCTGTGGATTCATTCTCAAGGTGGATTGAAGCATTTCCATTGCACACTCAAGATGCTGTGGAAGTAGCAACAAAACTCTTTAATGAGGTCTTCACAAGGTACGGTGCACCTCGAACTCTAGTCACTGATAGAGGTCGCCAGTTCACATCAAAGCTGGTCAATGCTATTTGTGAAATCTTTCAGGTTAAGCACCACTTCACATCGTCATACCATCCTCAGACAAATGGAATGGTTGAACGACGTAACAGTACAATTGCACAAGCCTTAAAATCTTACTGTAAGCCTGACCAATCGAACTGGGCTGATATTCTTCCATGTGTTCTCATGTCAATGCGAAACACACCGTGCCAATCAACTGGTTACTCACCACACCATATGCTCTTTGGCAGAGAGATGTGTCTTCCATTTGATACTACACTCACACCAAAGCCAACACTTGGTAAAAATGCAGAGACACATCTCCAGCAGCTCATCGACAGTCTGAAGGTTGTCAAATCTATTGCTCGCGACAACATGTCTGTAAGTCAACAGATAGACAAGGAGCATCAAGAGCTAAAATCATCAGAACCTTCACTCATGTTAGGTCAACAGGTGCTTCTACACAGCCCTGTAGTCAAACAAGGACTTTCCCCAAAGCTGTCCAAATCATGTACAGGTCCTTATTATATCACAGACATTGGTCCAAACCACACCTTCAAAATTCACAGATGCTCAGATGACAAAGAACATAAATCTTTGGTCCATGCCAATCGCCTGAAACCCTATGTCCTCAGAGGTAATGTTGCACGGCATATTGACGCATCAGGTTCTTCTGCACCTACATTGGTTTCAAGCAGAGCACAGGAACCATTACCAGATCCTCCTGCACAAACTTTGCAAGGCAGTCCTCCACTAGAATCACCAGTCTCTAGTGAAAAGCCAACTGCAAAAGCAGATGAAACTGTGCCATCAGAGCACAATCACAAGCAAACAAAAGATCACGATCAAGATCAATTCTATGATGTTGAAAAACTCTTGAAGTACAAAGACATCAATGGCATACGCCATTTTCTTGTCAAATGGGTTGCGCATCCTACACCAACATGGGAGCCACACCATAATATAGGACAAGGACTTATCAGAGACTTCCACGTGCATAAAACACAGGCTGGACGCAGTCGTAAGCACAAACGATCACACAAATATTTTGTCTAATCTCGATTAATATAGTTATCCTTGACTTTGATAGTACCTGGCAGGTAGTTTCATTGTGAGTAGTTAGATGTTGTCGACAAACCTGCAGGGCCTCCTGTGTTATTAAGTGCTAGAAGGATGATAGTTGCAAATGTCATCTCTTCAAACCCGTTGTCAACACTAATCAACCCACTTGATCTTCTCTCAGAGTTGTCAGATTCAGTTATCTATTATTATAGATTATGCTGTTATAATGGTGTATATGTCAAAATCGAGGCAAACGTTATGTCCAAATATGACACTATTTGTCCACCTTCCATCCCATAACTATTTAAAACTTTCAGCTTAATATAAAACAGTTAATGTTGTATGAACTGTTACCCATCCATGAACTAAACTGATACATATACATGTACATGACCTCTTTCATCAGGTAAAGTTTTCAAACTGCCGAATTCCTGCTGAGAACAATACTCTACATATTCTATTAAGCCAGATGTTGCTAAAACTATTGTATTATGCTTCATTATGTTGTACCTTTTTGGGCTCTCATAACAGAACAATACCCTGTCATAACATGTTTTGTTTGGTAGACTGTTCAAATATTGTATTCTTTTTTCAATACCTGTATTATGTTTGTTACCATGACAAATGGATATTGTATCTTTCAGTAGCACTAGTTCCATATAACATATTTGTGCTTTTGCAGTCAAAAGCTTCCCACAGCGGAGGGATATTGTCATAGTCCTAAAATCACTATAATTAACCCATAATTATAGTGGTCATATTTCAATAATATGTTTTGTATTTCTCTCAATATTTTATCTTACAACTAGCTATACCTAAATATATTTCTGTAGATAATGTTAGTCAGCTGCCATGCACGTAACTGACCGTCACAAACCAGTGACTCTGGATTATCTAACTCAGCCAGGTGGCCAGGCTCGGGTTATGCCCCAGGCTATAACATGCTGTGTATGGCCGGACGCGTCGTCATTTTAGTATCAGATAGGTGGAATACAAAGGATATTACGCGGTCAGTGTGCTCTGTAACTGTCGAATAATTGTAATTAATACGCCACGCATGTAGCAGATTTAGATCATAGTTTCAATATTAGGTAACTAACGCATTCTATAGAAGGCCTGAGTCCCTATATATACGGAGTCCAGTGGCAGATACTTCACTCTGCCACGAATAAAGACGTAAAGGGACTCAGCAGCCTTCTCTCTGTTTTAAAGGTAAGACAACATTATTTTCTTCTTCAATTCTCCTTGCCTTTAACTTATATTATATCATGTGCAAGCAACTTTATATTTACCATGGTTTGTAATATTTAAGAATAAGTTATATGTCATTCGTTATACCGCAAAGCAACTTGAATGTTAAATTGTATGTGTGTGTTTATATAGATGTCAGTAGATTAGTTCACTTGTACATTAACTGTTGATAGGCCAAGTGATAGATAAAGCCGTACATTACATAGCATGGGAAAGAGTACATTGTGGTAAATACCCGCGGGTAATCTCACGTAAATACCGTCTCATACGAATATTGGCCATGCTACGTCTATCATTTGGTTAAGCATTTACGGCATTGAAATTATACAGTATGTTAAATACATTTGTATGTAAATACACGAATAACACTAGAATGCCGTAAATGTAAATGTTAACAGTTCCTGTATGAAATGTCATAGCTAGAATAACATGAAATACCTCCCAGTCGCTTATTATTCACAATTCGTTTTTGTACCTTATTTATTAGAACAGTCCTGTTAAGAAAGCTTAAACCAGTCGCTATCAATTCATGTATGGTTGTCAATTATATATTTAATGTAACAAGTCATTGACTGCATCTATCTTGTAATGTAATATTGTTTAAATATCTCTCTATATATGAAATTAGACTCTGCCACGAATAAAGACGTAAAGGGACTCAGCAGCCTTCTCTCTCTTTTAAAGGTGACAGCCGAGTAATCAGCTCTACCAAGTTAATTCCCCCACTATCTTGGCCATTGTGACGTAGCAAACGGGACCACGCCCATACAAGGCAAAACGGCCCGGAACACAAGCTACGTCAAAACCATAATAAAAGTTTCAAAGTGAAATTGGTGTTGTGGCTGGATATATTTTATTTGGACCATGATGTGTTGGCGCAGTTCATGGATCTGATGTCAAGGCTGCCGATGTGGCTGATGTGTTGCCGCCAGCTGGTCGTGTTACTCCTGAGACAAATAATACATCAAACTGTTTTACACGCTAGTAGCTACTGCTGCATCATTGTTAACAAGAAACACTTAAATTAAAAATTTCGGAATTATACTAGGAACATTGTGTTAGGGGACCCCGTCATTTCAGCGGGAAGAATGACATGACCAGCTTTGTTGCACGAGACACTGAACGCGGATAGCAAACTCGCTCAAACTTTGTACATTACACACATTAACCATGCAGTCAATTGTGACACATCTAGGTTATACGCATGTGCCAAACGTCATAACCACATGGTTCACTGATCGGGTACAACGAAGGAAAATGCCTCAAAGTGTACATTACAGAACATGAATCATTGCGCCAATAGACATGACTGAAGAGTGGGTCCGAAATCAAGACATCCTTCCAGAGGAATGCGTCTAACTGTGCCACACGGGCGCCCCAGGCAACAGTGGGCACAGCCTTTTGGAGGCCGTCAATAGTAGCTGTGGAGATACATCATGTTTTCTGAGGAATCGAGGTTCATTTTACGCGTTACAGATGGTAGACAACGTGTTTGGAGACGGCGTGGAGAGAAGTACTATCCTGCAGCAGTCGAAGAGCACGATAGGTACGGCGGTGGCAGCATCATGGTCTGGGCTGGCATCACATACGGCAACAGGACGGATCTGATGATCGTGCAACAGAATATAACCGCTCAACGTTATGTGGACCAAATTTCAAGTCCAGTGGTCATCCCAAATGCCCAGTGCGTGGGTCGAAATATTGTCCTCCAGGGCAACGACGCACGTCCTCGCAGACATCGTGTTGCAGTCGTCTGTCTGAGACCCCAAGGTGACACAACATTGCCCAAGTCTCCAGACTGAACACTTTTGGGGTGTTCTTGGACGAAGGATCCGCATTCGACCTCAGCTTTCCCAGAATTTGAAACAGCCTGGGCATGCCTTACAGAAAGAATGCCGAAGGGAGACAAACCGGCGTCTGGTTTCCAGTATGCCCAGAAGATATCGTGCCTGCATCGATGTTCACTGGGCATGATCCAGGCAGCAACTTTACTATGAAAACCGAATTTCAACAACGTCATTCCTTTACTTATCATTTCTCAATAGTTTGTGTGTGTGTGTGTGTGTGTGTGTGTGTGTGTGTGTGTGTGTGTGTGTACTCTTCAAAAAAAGAAACTTGTCAGAGATGTAAAACCACTTTTTGCCAAATATCTAAAATAATTACATTAAATGAGAACCAAATAAGTCAAACAGAAGGATGATGTGTCTATAATTCGCGAAAACACATGCAAAGCACATAAACGTAGCGTTTGGGGATCAATTTTACAGCTTCATCCACACGCAACCGCCTGTAAAAAACCTGCAGCACAGGATCCTGCATTTAGGCATGCAGGCCCCCCTGCTGATTGGGTATAAAAATCCACATCAACGGCTGTTCATACAGTCCTTATAACGACAGTAGAGGCGGTGACAGAATGCCAAGACTGAATGCAGCTCAACGGAACAACGCTATTGGGAGATTACAAGCTGGAGCAACTCGGCAAGAAGTGGCCAGGCACTTTTGCGTATCCAGACAGACAATCGCCGAACTGTGGACCCGATACAACACCAACAGAGTTGACGACAGACAAAGGTCAGGAAGACCAAGGGTGACAACCAAAGCACAAGATCGATACATCCGGCTGCGACACCTCCGAGACCGCACTACCACAGCCACGTCTACAACCACACAGATCCCTGGGGTACGCAGAATATCAGATCAAACGGTACGCAACAGACTGAGGGAGGCTGGACTTTTTGCACGAAGACCTGTTCGACGTCATGTATTGACCCCACGTCATCTGCTTTGGTGCCAACAGAGGGTTAGTTGGGCACGTGTAAGGTGGAGAAGTGTACTGTTTACTGACGAGTCCGGTTTCCTACTCACACGTGCTGATGGGCGCGCACATGTCTACAGACGTCGGGGTGAACGTTACGCCCCCAACTGTGTGCAGCATGTTGTCCCATTTGGCGGCGGGAGTGTCATGGTATGGGCCGGAATTCATCACGGTGGTAGGACGCCTCTCGTGCATTTGGCAGGTGCATTGACAGGTGTGTGTTATAGAGACTTGATCCTACAGCCTTACGTTCTTCCTCACGTCAACGTTCATGGCGGACATTTCCAGCAGGACAACGCTCGACCGCATATTGCACGTGTTTGTCAGGACTTCTTACAGCACAACAATATCCAGACATTACCTTTGCCAGCCCGGTCACCAGATTTGTCCCCGATTGAGCGTCTGTGGGACGAGTTGGATCGACGCGTTCGCAGAAGGAATCCACCGCCCCAAACACTTCCGGCGCTTCTTGATGCACTTCAGCATGAATGGCAGCACATCCAACAGCGTGTTATTGACAACTTGATTGCATCTATGGGTCGTCGGTGTCAAGCGGTGATTGATGCACGTGGTGGGCACAACCGATAATGACATTTTTTGTACCCCTGTGACATTAACTGTATCGTGTACGTGTGTCTGTCTAGGTGACACGATTAATGTTTTGAACATTGTGTACATTGATCTTCAAACAGTTTTTCAATTATGGTTTCTGTGTCCGATTTTGCAACAATCGCATTATATTACATTTTGAAAGTCAGTGTCAAGTTTCTTTTTTTGAAGAGTATTATATTAATGCACGGATGTAGAAATAAAACACTTTGACGTGAAAGCTCTTCCCAGCTCAGGATCAATGACCAACTTACCTCGGTTTTTATTTGGACAAAGTTCCACCTCACAACATTCAAATGGAACTTTTTCCCAGTGGCATCCATCGGCCATGTCTTCTGTTTCATGCTTCAGACAGCTGTGTGATAATGAATTATTATTAAGGATCTAAACCAGTCGTGTGAGGACGCATGTCATGCATACAGCTATTTGCCAAACATGCAGACAACTATCTACCAAACACACAGACAACTAGCTGCTAAACACACGGACAACAATATGCAAAACATACAGACAACAATCTGCCAAACAAGCACACGACTATCAGCCAAACACACAGACAACTATCTGCCAAACAAGCACACAAATATCAGCCAAACAAGAAAACAATTATCTGCCAAACAAGCACACTATCTGCCAAAAAAGCACACAACTATCTGCCTAACAAGCACACAACTAAGTATCTGCCAAACAAGCATACAACTATCTGCCAGACAAGCAAACAATTATGAGCCAAACAAGCACACACCTATCTGCCAAACAAGCATACAACTATCTGCCCAACAAGCATACACCTATCTGCCAAACAAGCACACACCTATCTGCCAAACAAGCACACATCTATCAGCCAAACAAACACACACCTATCTGCCAAACAAGCACACAACTATCTGCCAAACAAGCACACAACTATCAGCCAAACAAGCACACAACTATCTGCCAAACAAGCACACAACTATCTGCCAAACAAGCACACAGCTATCTGCCAAACAAGCATACACCTATCTGCCAAACAAGCATACACCTATCTGCCAAACAAACACACAATTATCTGCCAAACAAGCACACACCTATCTGCCAAACAAGCACACAACTATCTGCCAAACAAGCACACAACTATCAGCCAAACCAGCACACAACTATCTGCCAAACAAGCACACAACTATCTGCCAAACAAGCACACAACTATCTGCCAAACAAGCACACAGCTATCTGCCAAACAAGCATACACCTATCTGCCAAACAAGCATACACCTATCTGCCAAACAAACACACAACTATCTGCCAAACAAGCACACACCTATCTGCCAAACAAGCACACACCTATCTGCCAAACAAGCACACAACTATCAGCCAAACCAGCACACAACTATCTGCCAAACAGGCACACAACTATCTGCCAAACAAGCACACAACCATCAGCCAAACAAACACACAACTATCTGCCAAACAAGCACACAACTATCTGCCAAACAAGCACACAACTATCTGCAAAACAAACACACAACTATCTGCAAAACAAACACACAACTATCTGCTAAACAAGCACGCAACTATCAGCCAAACTAGCACACAACTATCTTTCAAACAAGCACACAACTATCTGCTAAACAAGCACGCAACTATCAGCCAAACAAACACACAACTATCTGCCAAACAAGCACACAACTATCTGCCAAACAAACACACAACTATCTGCTAAACAAGCACGCAACTATCAGCCAAACTAGCACGCAACTATCAGCCAAACAAGCACACAACTATCTGCCAAACAAGCACACAACTATCAGCCAAACTAGCACGCAACTATCTGCCAAACAAGCACACAACTATCAGCCAAACTAGCACGCAACTATCTGCCCAAACAGGCACACAACTATCTGCCAAACCAGCACACGACTATCTGCCCAATATGCAGAGACGTTGCCAGTTCTGTTGAAAGATAAGGATAATTCATCTTACTTTTTACGTGTTGAAGCAGTTATATATTTATTAGTTGAAATCGTAACATGTTCTACAGACGAGCTATAAAAAAACAAACCATTTATCACTTATTACACTTATGTGATTTAGCCTAAAGTAAAAAGGGTATTAATACTGTCAGCGCGTATGTGGACGGAGTAATTAGCTCTTGGGGGAATCGAGGACACCATCTGCATCACTGTCCCGGAACGTTTACTGCACAGCATATAAACGATAAACAACTAATACAATGATTGGAATACCCGCTCTGTCTGTCTGGTGATGAGGATTAACAATGGTGATTAGCGTCATGTAAGTAATGGCAATTAAGAGATGGAGACATATACAAGTCATGGCTACATGATAATTAGCCTTCAGAACCCAATGTTCATTCTGACAATGTTTGTCGTGACAATACATATGCTTTATATCGTCTTCATAAAAGGGATTAGAGTTTGTCAGATAAAAACACATCAGCGATAATCGGAACTGCAAGTAGCATCTCCATGTATTACCATGTGTTTTACATTAATCGATGCTTTCTGTGATATATAAAGTGTGTTTAAAATTACCATGGGGGCGGTGGGGTAGCCTAATGGTTAAAGCGTTCACTCGTCACGCCGAAGACCCAGGTTCGATTCCCCACATGGGTACAATGTGTAAAGTCCATTTCTGGTGCCCCCGCCGTGATAGCTAAAAGAGGTGTAAAACAATACTCACTTACTCATTAAAATTCCAATAGGAACGTACGTTATTAACACCATTTGAATGTATTTAGTTATCCGGTCCCAAGTATCACCGCATGATATGGCAAGCAACAAACAAAATTGCAAGTGATACATTTTAACACATTGTTTACTGAAAACACCAACGTACAAAAACTGGTTTTGTTTGTTTTTACATGGCCTTCCTCATGAATTAACAGATGGGCGTTTTCCCGGGTTATCCCGCCATCCTGGAAAGTATATGTTGACAATATTTGCCTAGCTAAATCGGTACTTACTATTCTGTACACGTGAAAAAGTTGTTGCTGGCGTCCACACATCTGCACTTGTAGTCACAGCCATCCTCCCACGTCTGTCCCTCGTGGTAAGTCACATCTTTGTACAAGCAGCCGTGACTGTGAGTGTTCTTTGAAGTGTCTGACCAACACATGTGTGAATATGTAAACGTTTGTGAGTAAGTATGGTTTTACGCCGTTTTAGCAATATTCCAGCAATTTCACGGCGGGGGGACACCAGAAATGGGCTTCACACATTGTACCCATGTCGGGAATCGAACCCGGGTCTTCAGCGTGACGAGCGAACGCTTTTAACCACTAGGCTACCTGACCGCCCCAGTAAACGTTTGTAACATTAAGTAGCATGTAAACCATATGTGCACATCATCAAATCATTTAACAATTTTTAAAAACATCACGGCATATTCATAACCACCATTACATCATTTGGACAACTTCACCAAACATTAGTAAGCTGAAAATCCACACTACAAGAAACATCAACTGCACACGTGCAACCATTGTCTGTCTGGTTTAACGTAACAGACAGACTGGCAGAACGCAGGGCAGATCAGGCAGACCCCGCGTGTCAACACCACACGATGACCGGTACTTGCGCATTTCGCATTTGTGCAATATAGGATGGAACGATTAGCGCCAGGCTGCATTCAGGAAGGCCGCACACTGCACGGGTCGCCCAGGATCTCTTGGCTGCCCACAACGTCGTCGATCTTCCTTGGTCAGCTCGTCCACCAGGCGTAAACACCATTGAACACTTGTGGGATCATCTGGATCGTCAGATCAGGAGGTGTCCTCATCCACTACAGAATCGTCAACAGCTTAAAGCCACACTGAGGGACGACTGGCAACGGATTCCCAACAACGTCATCGAGCGACTGACGAAATTGATGAGAGAGCGAGCCTGATCGTCACATTCTCTATTGATAATGTCTAGTAGCTGTAAACTGAGCATGACAACACGGCCCCCCTGTGTCCATTGCTGTGTACTGTGAAATTACGACCGCTTTATGTTCCATGTGGCGTCATGTGTTCGTCACCTGTTGTGAGATACTCATTGATATGACGAATGGGATATCGCCTATCATACCCATATCAGAGACATCACAATCGAATAACCACTCTTTTTTTTATTTATTTTTAGCCACCATCAAACATGGGTGTATACTTTCTTTTGCGGTTTATATGGAAGAACCCAAAAGTCCCGTCCCTTTATAAGTGTATAATCTTGAACGTGACGTTAAACCACATCACACCTCACCTCCTTTTATTTTTTTTACATGTCTTTGAGACATTCCCTCATCGTCGGGCTGGATATTATGGTGACCTAGGGTCATGCATGCAGCACGCATGTTTAACACACATTATGTCATTGTTAAATCGTCTGTTTTTACACCAAGTCAGAGGTCACAAAATTACGTTATAATTATAAAGAAAATGTATTTGTAAAACCCGGGTGAATGAGTGATGGTTGACGGACCATAAAGGCGGATTAACAACATCTAGTGGCAATTCAATAGAGAAACAGTGGAATCAGAGATGTAAGGAAAGGAAAATATTACTCATCAATTAGAACTATATTGACCTTATTAATGATTGACTCACCACAATGTCCACAGTGTGCTTGGCAGTACACTCTCGCCCACAGCCCATTGTTTCTACTACACATATCGGCACCATACGAAGCACAGCTGCCAAGTTTATCAAAGCATTCACCTTCAAAGTTATCTGAAGAAAGATACAATAAGGAAACAGGTATATTACGTGTGTTTCATATTACCTACAATGTTCCCTCTCTGTGCCTGTCTCTCTCTTTCGATATGTCTCAAATGAAAAGCTGTTATCAAGGACAAACACAGTCTTCAGCAACTCATGCTTACCGTTAAAGGCGACTATGCTTGTCGTAAGAAGCAGACTAAAGGGATCGGGGGGTCAGGGTCACTGACTTGGTTGATGCATGTCCTCGTATCCCAATTGCGTAGATCGATGCTTATAATGTCACTGGAGTGTTTTGTCCAGACTCGATTATTTACATACCTCCGTCATATAGCTGGACTAAAACACACAGACATAATCTACACACTATACTGATTATCTTGTTTTCAATGCAGTGAGTGTAATCATGTAGTTCTGATTAGCGTCCGACGATTGTATGGATCTGGAGAGTCGTCAGGCGTTGGCTTGTGCATGGGGAGACGGGGTTATACTTATTTACTTGCATTTGGGACGTGCATCAAGAATATATATACTGCTACTACTTCATGTCCGTTATTCAGTTATGGCCTGATGAGACTCGTACGTGGTACGAGTTGGAAGCGCTAGCCAATTAAAACTGTGTTCAATCCTACTCCACTTATCTAATTATTACTATATATATATATTCACACGCAAAAGAAACGCAGGTGGTTTTAAGCAAATAGGTAACAAACACGGAACCATAAATTGATACGAGTTTAAAGCATGTAGTGAAGCCTGATGGTGTTATCAATATTTTTGGTTGCATTATGGAAGCCCTGAGTAAAAACGAAACATAAAAACGAATCGCCAAAACGCACTATTTCAATGAATATGTGGGTATCATACATCCATTTCTCGCGAAATCGAAAATGCACGAACTGTCACGAACTGTAGTGGGTATAAAACTGTTGCCGATTCTTGGACCTACCACTCCTTGGTCAACAATGCCACGTCTAACTCAAATTCACAGATACCAGGCTATCGGACGTTTGGAAGCTGGAGAGTCTGTCCAAGATGTTACCGTCATTTCAACGTTAACATAACCACAATTTACCGTCTCCTGCATCGATACAATGCTACACAGACCACAGATGACCTTACAAGGAGCGGTCGTCCTAGGGTCCCCACACCTCGACAAGATCGGCAGATTACCCGTCAACACAAGCGACAGCCGTTCCTAACTGCAAGTGAAAGCGCTCGACAGACCATAGGAACACATAATCGACACATTAGCCGGGACACTGTGATCCGACGTCTCCGTTCCAACAACCTCAGATGTCGCCGACCAGCTCGTCGTCCTGTTCTCTAACCACGGCCTTTGACAAGCACGACTTCCGTGGGCACAGGGTCATCACAATTGGTGTCATCGTGAGTGGAGGCGTGTCATCTTCTCTGATGAAAGTCGCTTTTGTGTCTCCCATGCAGACGGAAGAGTCAGAATTTGGCGGCGTTGAGGTGATCGTTTCACTGATCGAAACGTTGTGGAAAGGGATCCATGGGGTGGAGCGTCATGATATGGGCGGGGATTGGACTTAATGCGAAACTTGGACCCATGTGCTTTCTGAATGTTGGTCAAGGTCGGGGACACAGCGTCACTGCTTAGCGGTATATCGATCAAGTGATCAGACCCCACGTTGTTCCATTTTTTTGCACAGCATAAACAACACATTTTCCAGCAGGACAACGCTCGTCCCCATGTTGCCAGAGCTACCATGGCCTTTCTGCAACAACATAACATCCGTGTTCTACCGTGGCCAGCCCTCAGCCCTGATCTGAACTCCATCGAACACTTGTGGGATGAGGTTCAAAGGCGTCTGCACAATGTGCGCCCAGTCCCTACAACTGCCGATGAACTACGCACAGCTGCTCTGGATGTGAGCAGGAGGATCCCTAGGGCCTTCACAAATCGTCACATCCACTCAATGTACAGAAGATGTGTGGCAGTGAGCAATGCTAATAGTGGTCACACCAGGTATTGACTGACATTTTGGGTATTGACCCGAAACTGTGTAAGCCCTTAACATTTGAAAAAAAACAATTATGTCATCTGCCTTTTAATCCATTAAACTGTCTTCAGTCAAATGTTTGTCAATTTTGCCCTATTAGTATTTCTTGTCTTTACTGTTGAAAATAAATAATATGTATACTGCATACTCGACTTGCGTTTCTTTTGCGTGTGAGTATATATGCAGAACACTTTGTCGTTATTACCATTGAGAATGAACGAATGGCTCGTCACCGCCATTGCTACCAGCATGAAGAGGGTAGAGTCTGAAACAGGTCAAGGATAGAAATAACGAACCAGCTGTAAAGTGCCTGGGGGAGAGTCATGCAGTCCCGAGACAAATATGTGCTACTACGCTTCGGGAAGATAGCCTGTCGACCAGCATGTATAATACAACACTAACCTGCTTTAAACATCGCCACATGCCTTACACGAGTCGCCGTCAACAAAGTAATATGTACATATACATTTATATATACCACGCACACACACACACACAAATAAATATGTGCCAGTTTATCTATTACAATTATCTGTGTTTCAGCAAACCCACGCAGCTAGACTTCGTGATACGTTGGTTGAAATGGGCCTGCTGGAATACTACTGCATTATACACTTATACTTTCATGACAATAATCGTGTTACATGGACGTGATCATGTAATTATATTGTGATCAAACAAAATAAGTATTTACGACCGAATAATGGGACCAGTGTGTATCTTCAGTGCAAAGTTACTGCGATTTATAACAAAAGCGAGACTGTAAACAGTCTATATCCGCTACTGGGAGACAGCTGCTGATTCACATCTGACCGATTGGCATTGCAAAATCTTATTATCCGCTATAAAACAATAGCTTAGTGTGTTTTAATGTGTCGGAATAGGCCAGGTACTATCCATGTATAGTTCAAGATAAGCGGTTGTTTGGGTGTGTGGGCTTTGTGTGAGTAAGTGGAGAGTTTCTATTCACGAAGGACAGATGAGGTTATTCTATGTAGTATCGTAACAGTATCCATATATATTCTTTATGTGTCCATTGTGACAGTGGGGCGGTCGGGTAGCCTAGTAGTTAAAGCGTTCGCTCGTCACACCGAAAACCGGTTTCGATTCCCGACATGGGTACAATGTGTAAAGCCCATTGCTGGTGTCCCCTGCCGTGATATTGCTGGAATATTGCTAATAGCGGCGTAAAACCAAACTCACTCATTCAACCATGTTGACAGTTGAAATAACCTGGCAGACATTGCATGGTGATATTAATACAAGATTGTTAACGTCAATCAATAATGAAAAGATTATCTAGTACCTTTCTTTAGTACTTTTATGGATTGGAGAAAACACGCTTACGAGGTTTTGGTAGACAGAGCATGCCCTGGGGAGCCCCCCGCGGTTTTTCCCGACCCCCCAGGGCATGCTCTCTCTCTACCGAAACCAAAGGAAAGTGTTTTTCCATACTTATAAACCGTCTAAATTGATTAAATGTTATAACGAGCATCTATAAATGAGGCGCTTCATTATAGCGCTTCCTTGAAGACGTGATAACTTGCACGTGAAATTCGCTGACTTCCCGGGCGTTCAAGAGCACTTGGATGTGTCAAAAACAAACCACAACTAAAATACTTACTTTTAAATGAAAGCGAAATCTTCGGTTTCTAAATGTTTGTGTTGCAATATTCCACTTCTTTTAAACTTTTCAAAACGAAAATTCGCAAATTTTAAAGGTGTTTTTTTTGCTTTACGAGATTTTCGACTTTAAACAATCCAACTGTTACATAGAGGTAGTTGTGACGTAACGGCTATCAGTTACTGCACGTGCAAATTGTGCAGCATTGATAAGCACTTGTTTAAAAGCACGTGTTTTGAAACCTCGTTGTCCTTTCACCAGAGACTCTGAAGTGATGTCGCTTTAAAATGTCCACGCAGAACTGTAAACATGACATTCAATTTTAATTGAATTAACATTTTGAATTGCTACTTGTTGTCATTGTTTTCAGTTACGTGGTTAAACCTGGGATTTGAGGTTTTACATTCAAAGTAAAACCTCCCGAACGAAAAAAACCCTCATAATAGGTTTTACTTTCAAAGTAAAACCTATTAAGAGGTTTTAATGCCTATAGAAAGAACTCTCTTACTTAATAGAGATCCCAATGAATAGGTTTATAATTCTCCATAAAAACCACCCACCACAGGTGGTACAAAAGCATATAACAAAATCATTAATAATTTCTATGACATAAGAATGGTTAACATAATTTGTGAGTTTGTAACTTATTTAATATTTTGCTGATAAACTTTGACAAACATTTTAATTCTTTAGATTGAAAGTACCAAAGTGCGTTTAAATGTAAATATGTTTGGACATTTTTAATATTTGTGTTGTACATGCAATAGTCTATAATAATGAAATGCTTCACAGCGGAAAAATATAATGAAACTCATCCGCAACGGCGGAAGTCAAATACAATATACAGTCTGTTTTCTCTGGCAATGCCAGTCTCAAATGGGTGGTTATGTAATATATTTAGGTATTGGATAGGCTAAAGGTCTGGGCCAAAATAAGTAGCTGCCAAATGAAGGTTGTTGTTTTAGATATTGGTAATATGTGCCTTTGGAACTTGACATGGTATCACTTTGTCAGTTTGGAATACACGGATCTTTTAGTATTCTGTCCACAGATGAGACAAGCAAGCGACTTTCAAAATTGAAAGGCGATGAAAATACTTCCGAGATCCCACAACTATTTAATACTGACTGCATGTAAATTAACCAAAATATCGTTGTTTTGTCAGTTGTGATGTCAAGTACACGAAATATGCCAAAAGGAAATAATTTTCTTAGCAATTGTAACTGATAGCGGAAATCTTACTGGTTCCCCATAAATGACGAAATTAGGTGTTGACGTTTATAAACCTGCTGCAAGTTTAAGGACGTTTAAGTGGACCCCGTTGTATTATATCGGGATGTTCGTAAACCCCTACCTCGGATCCGTATATCAGTATTGGTAATACCATGACATCAAACGCTCGTAAATGGTAATCAAGAGGAAGATCAATGTTTATGGCTTTTTAAAAAAACAAAAAACATTGTTTTTGCATCATCTGCTAAAGTTTTAACTGCGCATGTTAATTTTCTGTTCTTGTGAAATTTAATTCCCAAGCAATTATAAGAAACGACAATTTCCAATTCAATATCAGCTTAAGTAAATAATAGGTCTTTCTTTTCTTAGGCCCACCTCCAAACATGACAAGTTTAGTTTTTGATATATTAGCAGTTAGTTTCCATCCATAACAAAAGTTATGAAAATTATCTAAAGATTTTTGTAAGGACCTTAGGTCATCATAAGTAGTTGTTGGCAGCGCTACAGGACGAGGAACGGGTCTGCGCATGCGATGGCGGCACTTCCGTTACCGGTGGCGCGCCTCCAAGATGACGGCATTTCCGTTTCCGGGAGGCGTGCGCACCTCCAAGAGGACGCCACATCCGTTTCCGGGGGAGGAGGGGCCACAAGAAGCGCTCGTAAAATATAAAAATATCAAAATTAAAAGAAGCGCACGTAAAATCCTTTATGTTCATTTTGTTTTCTTTTTAAAAAAAGAAGAAGTGGTGGTGGTGGTGGAGGGAGGAGGGAGGAGAGAGGATGGAGGAGGAGGGAGGCGGCGGCAGAGTTTTTTGTGAACTCTAGGGTGACCACGAGGGTGTGAACGTCTGTAAACTTTGTCACTAGGAGTGAACAAGACACTCGACTCTTCTCTTCATGCTTCTTCGGACACCAGACGTGTCGTTCATTTCTCCATCCGGACAAAACACACACAAGTATTCGCAGGGGACTTTGGCGTGCTTCAGATGTTCTTTCCAGGGTTTGTCTGTGGCTTCCCATTGGCAGAGTGTCACACTGCAGCAATAACAGATAACACGGTCACCTCGTCCTTGATAGAAATAGCCAGCCATAGCCATGTCATAAGGGGTCTGGGTCATCTGTTTAGGTTACGTTTGAAAAGACCTCAGACGTTCTTAAAATGAATCATAGTTAGGATGAGAAGGATGACACAAGGTGTAAGAAGGTAAAGGTCCCTCCAGAATGTCACTAGGTCGCCATGTGTCATCCATAAAGAGTGTGTCCTCCATAAAGAGTGTGCACTTTCTCGCTTGTTCTCTCGCATTTTCAAACACCCCCTTGGTATCGGGGACATCTCGGGTTGGTGGCATGGCATTCATAGGCCGTCTTTGTCCCATGATGACTGTGGCTCAGCTGAAGGAAGGTCTGGGGGTTCGCCTGCTTTTATGAAAGTCTCTACATCTCACAGGATCGGCACATACACGAGGGGTAATTCGGATCTGGAAAACAGACGGGCGCGAACCATTGCAGCACTTCCGTTTCTTCTTCTTTCGTATTGTCCCCCAGCAAATCATCGATGACCAGCCAATGCGGGGCCACCCTTTTTTCGGGCAAGTCACGATCCGCTTCTTTCATGCTGTGCACAAACTCAAGAGCAACCCCTGAACTCTCTTCCAGCTCATGATGAAGCCGTTGCCCTTCGCTGTACACCCACACAATGCGATTGGTTGGCGTATCCAACACCTCGGGCCGATGCATCTGCTCAATACATGATTTCACAAAGGAACTTTTTCCCGATCCCGTGGGTCCCACAATGAACATCGTAAAAGGATGATGTAGGGTCAAAGGGGAGGTCACGACCTCTTCATCATCTTCATCATCATCATCATCATCATCACGTGACGTCATCCTGTGTTCGGGCTGACTGACACACGGCAGCTGTGGTGGTGGAGGTGGTGGCGGTGATGTCACAGGTCTCATAGGTGATGGTGTTGATGTTGGTGATAAGCCATGGACGTGTTTTTTATGACGAAGTAAGACATCTCTTCTAGAAAATGTCTCCCTTTACCACCCATGTCGCTCCGTGTCTAGGGCATTCATAAGTTTTGACATGATGTTGTCCGGATTTTCTGTTCATTGTTTCTTTCTAAGTCTTCACGGATGTGTGTTAACACTTGATGGTACTCTCTCCAAACACGTGTTTTTTCCAGATAAAATGCCAACAGCCAACACAACGTGAGGAACATCAATCAGAGGGACGATGTTGTTGCTTGGACCGTTCAGTGAAAAGTGATGACCGGAGAGCGTCTGTGGGTTTTAGGACACTGACACCCTGCCTCCTGATTGGTCCGTTCTTGACTGGACCGACCCTTGTGTTTCTTTTCCATATGGTCAGGCTTGTAGCATGAGAGAGAAAGCACAACCTCGTTTTGACCAATCAGAGGGCCATCCAGGGCAAAGGCGCCCTCTGATTCGTCGAAAACCCAGGCTTCTGATTGGTCAGATTTTGATCTGTTTTTTTTCTGTAGGTGTCCATGTCGATTCACTTTCGATCCGTTGTGACACCCAAATTGAATGAAATAAAAATGATCTAGTCGTCTCTGTACCCAAAAGGGAGCGTGTCTACAGGCAGCCCTGTGGTTTCGTCGCAGACCATGCGTCGATTGTCGTAAACGGTGCGGTAGTC